GTACAATAAAAAAAACCCTAAATTTTTGAAAATAAGGAGCTCAGTTAATTTTAGAGAAGTATTGCTCTACATTAACCTAGAGCAAGTCTGTGAGAGTGGCTGAAATATACTTGAAGGAGCAGTCATTCACCATTCCCCTGAAGGAGCACATAAAAAAATCCTTTCCTATCTTATTTTTAAAACATACTACAATAATTATCCAAAAATGGCAGTCAAAAGTAACTATTCGGACTTAAGAGTTTACCCTTTCAGGTTACAGTTAGTCCCACTGAAATTACTTGTCCCAGTCCATGGAATAGGTATTTATCCTGGCTGAGGAGATAATACAGTGAAATTTCCTTAAGAATTGGGTAAATTTAAATTAAAAAATCAAGCCCATATTACTGATTATAGTAAAACTTGACCTTCCCTGAAGGGGAAAAAAGAAAAGCTAAACAATACTTTGTGCTGATTGTTATTTAATCAGGCTAAGATCAAAGACATTAGGGGAAATGGCTGCACCAGCTGAATTTTTGTGTTACAAATATTAATTTGCACACAGAAGTAAATGTTTTAGGCAAGTTATTTGCTGTAAAGGAGTTCTGCTTGCTTAGTACTACTCTGAGATCACTGCCATTGAAATTAGTGTCGATTTTGATGGAGTAAGATTGGAATGTACCTTACAGGAGTTCAGATAGTAATGGGATAGACAATGCAGATGCTGAGTGTGGGCAGATATGGTACAATATCTGGAAAACATCCACTGCCTTTTTGGCTGACATCAGGAGGCTGAGCACTTAGACTCTCAAAATATAGCTACATGATGAAATTTAGGTGCCTGAATTACACCTGAATCACTCTTAATTTTGGACAGGCATGGAGGATTCTTACACTGAAATCCTCCAGGTACATACTATATGGAATAATTCTTGTGTTGAAAAGTCAAACTTCATTGATATACAGCAATTTATACATAGAAATATATGGAAACAGAAAGGTATCTGGTTGACATAAATCAAAATGTCTTTTTTAGGCGTTTAGGCTAAGTAACTTTAAAACACTATGTATTGTATGTTGTATTCCCAGCAGGACAATATACAAGCATAGGGAGGCTGCAAGTTTTGTTAGGGTCACTGTGTCATAGAGTTACTGCAGAAAATGTGGGAGCTGCTTTGAGTTAACAAAAATTAAGAAAAGGTTCTAAAAAATATCTTCTCAGAAAACTGGATTTTTAGCCTTGAAATTTCTTGTTTTCCTCTTACAGCTTGTAATTTAGGGTAAATGAATGCAGTGCTGTACAATGGTTAACATAGTCGCAAATAGTTAAATACAGGTAGTTCTAGAGTGTGTTACCACCTGTGAACATGTCAAAGTGGTATTTTATGGAAACATTTCAGTGACAGCCTTTTCTTGTTTTAAAATGTTTGCTGATGGTGTGTTTGAAGAATGGAGAAAGTGAATGAACATGACATTTGTATTTGTTATCTCTGCTCAAGACAGTTATTATCGTACTGTAATTTTTTTTTTTTTCTGTTCAGGAGTTCTACAGAAAGACACTGTAATATTTGAATTCCAGGTTTTCAATCAAAGCATAATTTGGAAGAGATTTAAGGGATTCATAGGCCTTCTGCTGGCCCTCAGTCCAGGATTTGAGGACAAAAAAAGTAAACTGGAACTTAAAATAGTAGCTTTGTTCTATGTTGTTTTTTTTTTTTTTTTTAATAACTAAAGGGGCCTGTTTCTAAATCTCAACAAGTTTGTTTTTGAAAAGAATTAATCCAATTGAAAAAAGTGGGAAGTACTTGTTAGTTTGAATTGTTTTGTCCAGTGTATTATCCAAGCCAGGTATTCTATGGTATGTGATTGATTGCTGTGTCTGGTCTGGCTTTGAAATGCTTCAGGCCATGAGAATTTTATCATTCTTCTGGGGCTACTATGTCATCTGAGAGATTTCACTGACAGTAAGTTTTTCCTGATAATACAGGTAGCTCTCTTCTCTGGTTTTGTGATAAGTGACTCCATTACTCTTTGAAATATGTGGGTAATCACTAGACATTCTCAAAAAATTCCTGTCCAGATTGGAAGACAAAGAGAATTTTAGGCAATATATAGAACAGATAGCAGGAGAGAAAATAATTTATCAAGTTGGATATCCTTTTTGATTGAAACATGTTTCTGAAGTCTGCACCATACTTGTAGTGACACTCAATTATGATGGATACTGCCCTTGAGAGACTCAGATGTACTTTTATAGAGATCTAAGTTGGCTTGTTATTTCATTTTTAAGATACTGACAGTGAAATGACTAAAAAGTGAGACAGAATCTGTCTGCAGAATAAATATGTGAATCTTTATATCATTTCAGCTTTCTTCCTCTGCTATATTTTGTTGTGTTTGTATCCCTTATTTTTGATTTTTATCACATATTGTGAAGACCAGTGTTCTACAACAGGATCCTGGCAGGTTGAGAGCTGTGACTGTGAATAATTAGTCAATTATCACTTAGTCAGGAGAAAGGCAGAGTGATCCTCTTGCTGGCTTGAATGTGAGCCTTACTTCTTCCCTTTCTCTTCAAAAAGTAAGGACAGAAATGGTTGAAATTCAGAACACTATCACAGAAATACACCTGTGATGCTTGTCTTCAGATTGTAGTTTCTTTAACTTCAAAACAGCTTTTGTGTGGCTTTTTAAAGAATATTTTTTAAGTTCATGACTGTTACTGCTTCAAAGAGGCCAGTTATGTGGTGCATGCATTGGGAGACTGTAGGTGTCAGGAGTTGCTTTGGGCAGCTGAAGTTGGCTCTTACTGGTCCTGTGCTCAAGGCTGGCAACAAAATGTTTAAATCACCTGCCCCCCTTTAATTTATATGGCATGGCCTCATTATGCACATGGTTGCATAGCTGACATTCTGTCCAGAGAATTGCATTTAACAGCTGCTTTGGGTTGCTTAGACATTTTTCTTCTCAATTTTTCTTCACAAGCAGTCATGAATCTAGTATCACATTGCAGTGCTGAATGTTTCATTGAATGTATTGTTTAATATTCTCTAGCCCTATAACTTTGCAATGGTCTTAACTAGAAAGAGGTTTCTTGTCAAAAGTTTATGACTGATCTCTTAGGAAAAGGGATAGTGCTTCTAAGCTGTAGTCTGGGGTTGGTAAATGGCACATAAATACTCTGAATGCACTTGATTTCTTACTAGCTCATTTAATCTATCTAGCGTTTTAGCTGTGACAATAGCTCAGGTGTCCAGAAAATCCATAACCTAATAAAGCAAGTTTGTCAGCTCGTATGTGTGCCTAATTATAACTGCCCAACTACATGTCATAGGTCTTTTGATGCTAAAAGTGGTATTATTTTCTCTGGAGAATTCAGAACCTATATTTTTGAGAAGGATGATCCAATTTATAGCCCAGAAGAATGACCACAGCGGTATACAAGAAAAACATGGGCTAGTGCAGGAATATCATGTTTACTCAGAGTATTTTAGCTCTATGAATTATGCTTCTGATCATTCCAGTGATGATTTCTTTTATATCTCTGTTGGTCTGGTGAGAAAAGTGTTTGGCTTCCAGAATTTTTTTATCCCTTCTCATACGGAAATGCTCCTGATGTGCACAGGGAGGACCCTGGGTTGGTTCTCAGACCCTGTTGGCACTCTGATGGTCTGCAGATGTTCAGCTGCATTATTTGCCAATACACATTTGCCCCGAAATACATTAATACTCTTTTGTGGCTTATCAATCTTTATGATAAAGCTTGCAAGTTCTTAGGGTAAAACAGGAAGCCCATCATGTTTTACTGCTAAAGTAAAAAAAGATGGAAGTCTTTTGAGCTAGCCATCTAGTTCTTCCTGTAGAGTAGGATGACAATAAAATTATTTTCAAATAGTGCTTGACCATTTTACCGGTCAAGAATTTAAAAGAGAGTTTCATGTCTAATATTGCCTAATTTCCATGGCTTAAAAAGAGAGTAGGTTGGGAAAAAGTGATGGCTCATATATAGTGCTGTATCCAAATACTGTTTTAGGAAAGTACTTGCAAAAGACTCAGGGAGAAGCAAGATGTTACAGAGACCTGGGACTTAGGAAATATGCAGAGGATCCATCTGTTATCTGAGCACTGAAACCTGTTTGCTGGATTGCTTTGGTGTGGTGCAGTTTGCTTTCTATGAACCCTGACTCTTGTAAGTGTGGACTTCAGGTTGTGCCCAGCCTGCCAGCCCTTTCTGCATGTCACAGTAACTGCAGCACAGAGCTGTCCCAGGGGATTAATAATTCTTTGCTGTATGGCTCAACATAGCAACCCCAAAGGCATCATTAAAACTCTCCACAAGAGTTACTTCAATGCTTATAATACATAATTATGCTTTAGAAATGCAGTGCAGTGTTTCTTATTGTTGCAAAATAAATTTTTCAAACTAAACCCAAAAAGCTTAATTAAGGGAGCATTTATTTTTCATTAAGAACATGTAGTGTGAAGTTCATTTTAATTGATTGACCTATAACTGCTCCTTATTTCATAATGGGGCTTTTAAAATAAAAAGTACTGCATTTTTATTTTGGCTATGATTATTTTTTGCCAGGTTGAAGGAAAAAACCCCAACTATTCAGTGTGGTTTTGGCAATCCATACTTCCAGGTGCATAGCAGTCAGCTTCTAGATGCAATAAGGCGTAACCTTACTGTCCTGCTTTTTGGGATATTTATATTCTTGGTTGATTTTATGAAGTTTTTTGTATCTTGCATAAGCTTTTGTGATAATGAATTCTTCAGTACTGAGGAATAGGTGGGACTCTGTGCAATTGAAATTCAAACTGCATTTTCAGTTTTATGGTAAAGTCTGGTAAGGTTTTATGCTAAAGTTTTATTTTATACTTAAAATAAATATATATGTTGTACAAGGAAGATTTCATGGGAGGAAAAGTGAATGTGTAAAAGTATTAAATTTAATTAGATACATGCTTTTCTTTTTCTTGAACTGTGCATTATGTTATCTGATCTGGTGTGATTCTGCTTGCAGAGAAAGAAGGAAAGACAGTTCAGGGAAGTAAAGTGGACTCCTTAAGAAAAAAGAGTTTTACTTCTGAATTACCAAACAGAAATAAACAGAATGGCTCATCTGAAAGAAGCAAAGAAATGTGGGTGTCATTTCCAGCAGAGATGCCAAATGAGAAAGAGGTAATGAGTTAACATTTGTCCATGTGGACAAGCACTACATTTAAACAGATGAAAATACAGAGAGGTACACTGTCCAAATGTTAGAGGCTAGTGGTATTTATCCTATGTGAGGCAAATATTTAAAATACTACCTAAGTGTTAAATACTCTAAAGAGGCACCTGCAGAGATCATGTTTGGCAGTGGCATTTGCCCTGCTGAAAAGCTGCCATAATTTGACTAACAAATAAGGCACCCTGCAATGAGCTAAGTAATGCTTTCACTGAAGACTGCAGTTTGTGGTAGAGGTTGGCAAAATGGAAAAAAAAAAAAATCCTGAAAGTATGGATGCCACCAGCATGGACAGATTTATTTGTTTCTTGTAGATTTTAGGAAGTACGGAGTTCTATGTTCCTGAAACTATGTTACTGCCTGAAATAAACAGTAGGCAGGCCAGAGGCATTTTTGATCTTCTGAAACATAAGGCATTAGGGATTTAATGTGTAGGGACAAGAAAAAAACAGACATCATCTGGAAGGGAGGGAGATGGAAATCTGAGTCAACTTGTTAAGAATTTCTGCCTTCCTGTCTGAATAACAAATAATTAGGCTGTGATCTAGTCTGTACTCAAAACTGCCCTTCATTAAACTTTTATTAAAAAAAGAAGTAGCAGGTCCTTTTGTGAAATACACGGAGCAATACACCGAAGTACTTTCAAATTATGAGCCTGCCAGGCCTCAGAGCACAAGCTGCCACTTTCCTCCTTGCTAGGACATGTCTTTGAGGTAGAATCAAGCAAGGCTTTTAAAAAAATTATGTTCTGTCAGTTGATTGTGTAATAATAATGACAATATTTTTTGCCATATTTTTTCATAAGAAGTATTGTTTCCTCATGGGTATTAATTTGTCTTTGTGTCTCTTACTTTAGCCACATCAAATGGTCTTTCTGTCACATAAAGCAACATACAACTTCCATTATGTTTTATGTAATGGAACTTCCATAAACCTTTATGTATGTTTTTGTTTCTAAAGAAGAAAAAGCTTCAGACATGCCTGCACATTTTTGTCACATTAGCAGTTTAAGAAACAAATACAATAACACTAGAATGCTGCAGAAAATTGCAGTGTAGTAACAGGAAGAGGCCGTGATGCATTAAGTTGACTGCTGTAACCTGCCCTGAGAAAGGAAAAGGGGGAAAACACTGCTGTTGAAAGCAGTGCTACTATTCTAAATGTTGCTTTTTAAGCATGCTATGATTACTTGCACTGTTGTTCCAATTGAATCAGTCTGGTCCCGTGTAGGTTTTCAGAGTATTACCTGTACCTGTTCTGCTTCCAGGATCATTCCATTAACTTCTTAAACATTTTTATATACAACATCTATAGAGCTGAGTAATGTGTTCTAGGGGACCCTTCTTGAGCAGGGACAAGGTGACCTGCAGTGGTGCCTTACAACCTTACCCATTCTGTGATTCTTTGAACTAGGTATAAATCAGTAGGAGCTTTGGTTGTGATTTTGATTCTGTTTCATGCATGTAAGTATTTCTTCCCATCTATCTACAGACAGTGATGAGTGAGAGCTCAGCAGCTGGTGTTTCTGATGCAGATAATCTCAGTTTGTCTGAAAGAGTGAAGGTGAGGTTTTTTTTGATTTTCTTCAAAGTGGGGATTATGAGCAGAACATTACTGACTTCTCCTGTATTAATTTACAAATTACTTGCAATTTGTTTATGTATTTCCCATCTGTGGGAAAGAAGAATGAGAGCAGTCCGAATTTTTTTATAATGTTTTGTACTTTTAAAGTGTAAAGGTTATTTTCAAATCAGGTTGGAAAAAATTATCTGAGAGCATCTTTAATTACTTAATGAAAACACAGAAGAAAATCCAGGGCATGTAGTCAATCCTCCATGGTAACACTATTTGCAGATAGGCTGGGAAAAGCCTTTCATTGTCACTCTGTGCATCCATTCAGAGTGACACCTGAAATGAGAAATGTCTTGTCTTTGAGTATGGTTTAAATAGTTTAGATTGTTCAAGGGAAATCAGCCTGAGAAAACAGTTGAGTAAAGCCCCAGGTGAAGTACTAGAAATGAAATAATTCTTAGTTTTTTTTTTCCTAATCAGTTCACCATTAGTCTCAAAACAGAAGGATCAAGCTCTAGTTTGCCTACAGCATGTATTCTCTTTGTGCCATATGAAATGAGCTTTCAAAATTGCATAGTAACTTATGCATCATTTTCCTGTGAAAATATTTTACTTCTACATCTTCCCACTAACTTCCTGAGAAAGTTACTGTACAGCTTGAGCTTTCTTTCCATCACTTAAGTTGATACATGGTAATTTTGGCAGTAAATCTCTGACTGTACCTAAAAGTATTTCCTTTGGGTTACACATTTCAAAGAAAACTCATATGCTTTCTTGGAAAAATGCAGGGGAATATGGAGAAGATGAAGTAGACAATTTAATTCATTTTCGCTATGCTGTAGATTGTACTATAAGGAATGGAACTGATATATTTTTATCTATTTTCTGATTTGGGTTTTCATGGCAGGTGGACAAGTACTTAGACTTGGAAGATGTAGACACAGATGAAGAGACTTGCAATGGTAGGTTTCCCCCCTTCGTATTCACCATCATTTTCTGTCTTTGAATGTATGTGAACATTCATTAAAGAACTGCTTCTCCCCTAAAAGAGATGATCTTGCTCAGTTCTTCTATTGCTAGAAAATTCCCCACATTGCCCCAGTTCTCCAGCTGAAGTACTCATTTCCCCACTCTTAAGAGGTAATGAAACAATAAATTAAGGGGAATATTTATTGTACTTTTTCCTGGTGAAGTTTTTTTTTCAAGCTTTTCTAAAAGTGCGGAGAGCTTCTTTTTAGCAACATCTCTCTATATTAATGCATTTCTATTTTATATTGAAATTACTGTCATTACAATTTTTTTTTTTTTTTTGTAATGTGGGTGCTAAGAGACAGTGCTGTAACGTGGAAATATTTAATGAAAATGCTGTCCCTACCTATTAAAACAGCTTCATCCTGAGCTTTGAATAGATTAGTCTAATTCTGAATTCACGGTGAACTTCTTTAAAAATTCCAATTAGAAGCATTTTGAGTCATGTTGAACTGTTCTGTACATCTATAATAATTTTAACTCTTCCACCTCCAAAAAGTAAATGGAATGCTAATGTCTATAGTCATCTGTCTATCATAGGTCCTTGTATGGTCTTTATTACAACCAAAAGTGACAACCTTTTAGTGTTTAAATTCATTTTCTTCATCTGTACCTGTGACTGTACAAGGTATCAGCCCACCCAGATGAAGGGATTTACCTGAGGTCACAGACAGAAGCTGCAGGGCTTTGATGCTTGTTTTCTTAGTTATTGCCACTTGATTGATCTCTCCACAGTAAAATTTTGATTAGTCATTCCTTTCCGAGTGTCCTGAATTCCTGTGAGGTCTGAGGGCTTAGAGACTTCCCGTATCTCACAAGAAAATAATAAACCAACATAAGTCAGGTTTATGGCAAATATTCTTTCTCCAACCTTTCAGAAAGGAGGGAGTAAAACAGCAGTCCCAGATCAGGTACAGGTATCAAAGATTTTTTTTTTTTTGAGTGCAATGTTCAAATGTGCCCATTTTTCCCTTTGGAGGGCATTGTTCTGTGTTTATGTCTTTAATTCTGGCATTACCTATTAAAAAGCCCCTGGAGTTTACTGGTGGAAGCACAAACCCACATTTTACTTGTGTCATAATGAAAGGAGAAATGCCTATATCCAGTTCATTAAAATATTGTTAGATATCTTTAGTTCCAAACAGGTCACAAATTGGTTGTTGAGAATAAAGACCAACGCTAAAATACCAAGCAGGACAGTGAGGAAAAAGAACTATGCTTAAGCTTGGGGATAATTTAGCGCATTCAGTACTGTGACAGACCCTTGCCTCTCTCCAGCTTTTGGGCCATTTCTGTATATTTGTGTCCAAGAGTAAATGTTAATCACATACATATGGAAAACCCTGGCAAAACACACTTCATTTGAGGTAGACTGCCTCAGTGAAGAATGAGACTATATCAGCAATGCTTACTAACAACCTTAGGCTTTTAGATTGTATTTTCTAGCATTGAAACACTGCCTAGCCAGAAGTTAATTTTTCCTTCTAAATGCTGCAAGGAAAGTGAACAGCAAACAAATTTATACCTGGGAAACCCACAGCCTGGATCTTTGAAGATAGTGGTTGAGTCAGGCTAAAAAATTTCTCCTTGACTCCTAAGTGCAGAAAATAGCACTTATGGTTTGATAACTGTCTTACACGTCAAAATTCACTCAATAGCTTCATACTAGGAGAGGTAAAATCTTAGTCCTGTAGAAACCTTAGCAACAAAATACAATTTAAAATATAAAATTATGTCACTTCTGTTGCTTATAATGTTAAAGTAATATAGAATAATATCACTAGTGAATATGTTAATGAAAGATTAATTCTGAAGAATTCTAGTTAGTTTATAAATGAGGTAAATTGTGACACAAATTAGAGACATTCTGTTGTTGACCTTTTTAAATGCTGCCACCTTATGTCAGAACAAATGATTGATTTAAGACTTTGTATTGTCAAAACAAGCGTAAAAGTATTGTTTATTTTACCCAGTAAAAAATACCTTGCTAGTAAATTGCAACAAGCCTTTATCTCTCCTTGTTACTGGCAGCATTTCAATATGTCTGCGCTTCACGTAGCTCTAAAGGGCAGATCAGTTAGCTGAGTTAGCAACTGTACATTAATACAATAAATATTCACACTTAAGGGCAACTGACTCAAAGCTGACAGTATGAGAAGTATGACAGAAAATAGGTGTTAAAACTTCCTATCCAACCAGTGCTGTTTGGCAGATGTCCTGGGTCATTCTAGTCAAGTTTTGTGGTTTGTTTTTTTTTTTTTGTTTTTTGTTTTGTTTTGTTTTGGTTTGGTTTTTTTTTGTTTGTTTGTTTGTTTGTTTGTTTGTTTGTTTTTTTTCCCAATTAATCTGGCAAGTTCAGTGTCTTTTAGGGTGTGAATGAATGTCACTGCTTCTTAGGAGTAGGAAAAGCAGCCCACAGATTTGGCCAGTATGCAAATTCATTGTAGCTGCTTTTGTTTGTCAGCACTGGGCTGAAAGCTTGAAACAGGGGCAATGCTTTGCATGGTGGGACTGTAGCACTGTAAACCATGATTGGCGAAGTGGAATTGCTGCCCTAAACCACAGCCTTAATGCATCGTGTAGAGACAGCATAGGCATGGTGTACTGTAATCACTCTTTCTCCCTGAATTTAATCTCTGACTGTAAGGAGCTTAAGGCAACAATAGAGATGATCAGGCTTTCTCCAGGGATGGATGGATGCTGCCTAGTGCCTATGTATTGGCAACAGGATTTTCCAGGACTGCTTACAAATTTCTTACAGCAGGGCTTGAGGGGTAACTTAGTAATAATAGGTAATATTTGAGTAAAGTATCAAATATGTTAAATAATGTCTGGAGATCTTGAGTGTGCAATTGTTTAAATACAAGAGAAAATGAAAACAGGACTAATTAAATGTGTGTGTGAGGCTTCATAGGCAAGGATATAACTGTCTCATCCTAATCCAGCATGGAGCACTGAAGCACTGCAAACTTGTCTTTTCAAGGTCCCAGCTGTCTGTAAGCCCCCAGAGGCTGAGGAGAACCTGATTGATTCAGTTACTTTGAAGCTGAGGCCAAGCATAATGTTTGATTATTTAAATAATTTTTTGGCAAATTATATCACCATCTGTTATTTTTCTTAATCTATGCCTCTCCATTTATATTTTGAGCCTGTCCTTATAGCCAGAAAAACCATGTTGAGGAAGAGGATTCAGAGTTAAATGAGGTGGAATTTTTAAAGTTTGGGACTCTCCCCCAGCTGGTGAATCCCTTTCTTGTTTTTCTTCTCTAGTCTCTGCAATCCATTTAACACTGCCTTGAGATGATTTCACACTAGGCAGCTCTTTGGGACTAACAGCCTGAAGCATGAGAGTTAGGGGAGACTGCAAAATTTAGCTTTTAAGCTTTTTTTGTTATCACTCTCTTCTCAACTCCCCATCAACAGCATTTTTGTGAAATGTAGTGTCTGAAAGTGGTAAAACCTGTGTCAGTGTATATATAGCTGTCAGTGTATATATAGCTGGGCATCATTTGGCTACAGTAAAGTTATAGACAAAACTTTGAACTTCCTCACTCTTGAAAGTTAAAAGCAGACTTGTGCCAGTAGATTATTTTTTCTGTACTCAAAATTGATGTCTGTGGTACACAATAAGCAAAAAACTCCAACTCAGCAGTGTTGACAGATTTAGTAATCACTTTCTGGGATGTGTTAGGGAGGGACTAAAGAGTGTTGTTCACTTTCCAAATATGCTGTTATTAAAGTATGCTGGACTTGAGTAAAATTGTCAGCCATATCATCCAGGGAGTTGATTCTTCATGGTGTGAGAGGTGCATTTCAAAATGTCTTCTCAGTCTTTTTGGTATCACTGGCTGCTCAGTTATCTCTATATATGGTGCTGTTGGCAGTATCCAAGGCTTTCCTGTTGCTAATTAATCACCTCCACAGAGAACATAATTAGCAGCTTAATTAGGATCATCATCCAGTAGTGCTGTAGCAGCAGCTTAAACAAGCTGTGAGGTGCTGGCTAGAACTTACAATGGCCTGGAGTTCCTTTGGGTGCCCCCACTGAGAAGGATGACTGTCAAAACTCTCTAATTTTTTCTCACTGAAGGGGTTTCTTTATTAAACATTATCAGGGAAAGCAGTGTTTACCAATTAGACTTTCATATGCTGTCACACAGCCAGCATAGAGAGAGACAAAGCTCATTTCTGGCATGTCTACTGGCAAACAAAGGTTGATTACATTCTTACAGGGTGATTGAAGGGAATTTGAAACACTGTTTGCATTACTAACAAGCCTTAAAAAGTGGAATTGACGTTCTGAGTATGACAAGCACTTCTTGCTAAAAGCAAAAATAAATTTCCTTCTGTTGTCCTAATTCTTAAAAGTTATCTTTCTGAGCCATTGCCAGGTTGTTGCATAACAGTGCTTCCTCCTCATCTTGTCTCTGCAGATTGGTCTGTTGAGGGGGAGAAGCTCTTATTGCAGAAATAATCAGTGTTTATATCAGTAGGTGATAAAAATCTCTTGATGTCCAGACTTGCCTTACTTTAGTAAGGATGTAGATCTAGGTTGCAAATTTGAAACAGTAGTGGAAGATGCCATTGTCTTTAAATGAGCATTCATATCTTCATTCTGTCCTATAAATACTTTTGGCCCAAATGATGAAAAAAGCAGCTGCAGAGCATGTGTAGACATAGCCTAGATACATGTGGACTGTACTGTCCTATTCAGAAAGTTTTCTCATATAACTGGTGCAGAATCTGAACAGATGCTAATGCTGAGAACAAGGACTGAAAGCACTTACATGGCTGGAGATAGAAGCAACCAAGAGAACAGGGATGAAAACAAACCCACTTATCATGAAACAAGAGACAAAAACCCAGAAATTAAATACTCAAGGGAACTAATTCAACTCTTTTAAAAAGAACATTCTACTTTGCAATTCAAAGCCCTGCTGGCTTTTAAATAGTATACTATTCCCAGAAGAAAACGAAATGAAGAATTTGATCATGGATTTTTTATGAAGATCTAGCTAGGAAATCTTTATTTCCAAATGTAAGTTCACAGGGGAATGAGAGGTCCATAACTCCACTACTGTGGTAAAATTGTGCAGGTAGAGATAAATAGACACTGCCATTTCACCCTGGATATATGTACTGTTTTGTTGCTTCCATTAAGTAACATTGAAGCAGTGCTTTGAAAATTTATTCTGAGATTATAAGATAAATGTAAATGTAGTATAAAACTGTAAAGAAACTTGTGTATCAGCTGAAAAAAAATAGTAGGTAGATTTACATAATTTTTTGACTAAATTGCAAGACATATGGTCCCCTTAAGTTCTTTCATAAAAACATTACTGAGACTCAATGGACACATCTGTGCTGTGGCAGAGCTGAGATTGATTCATGTTAGAAGATATTTCTAAACCTAAGGCATATCCTTCTGATCTGTCACAGAATGCAAACCCACTGGTCCCCGTATGAATGTTTTGCTGAAGTTTGTAAAAGAAAAGTGATTCAGAAAAGCTGTTCATTTGTGATCTGTGGAACAAATCCTGGCTGTATGGAAAGGTTACATGTCACTCCATCCCAGACAGGGGGAAGTCCTCTCAAGTACCTCTTCTTGGAAAGCTCAGGGAGAAACAAACATTTGTGAAATACCCTTAGACAAGAGATTCATCTCGCACTGCAGTGGGGAATATTAGTCATTCTACCAGGTATTTTTACTTAATGTTTTGTGAGAGTCATACTAAGATGTTTTGCAATGATTCTTTATGCCCCATGTACAGGTGGTGAAGCTCTAGCTAAAGAGAAATGAATGAGCCTGCTCAGCTCATCAGTGGCAGACATGGTGTTTTATAACTTCTACTGCAGACATCTCTGCTGAGGACCTTCCATCTTTGTTCTGAAAGAAAGGAATGTAATCCCAGGTGCTCTCTGAGTTTAAGAGCATCTGCATCCAGATTTAATTCAGTACCTTTAAGAAAGAAGAGCTACCAGACAAGTTTGATTTTTCCTTAGTGCAGTATTACTACCTAGATTTTATCTCAGGACAGTGTGGATCTGTTTTAATGATGGCTTATGCAACAATAACCACATCACATTCTAACAAGCTACTGCCCATGTCTGAGCACTACAGGATTTTAGCAGGATTTTGCTAATTTATGCATTGAGTGGAAGGTTAATGTTGACTTCTTTTTATTCAGCAGGATCATTAGTTCTTCCAGGAGAGGTGGAAGAGACAGTGGCTTGCTGTACACCCTTCTTTGATAAGCCTATTCAGCCAAAGTTCAGAGCCTGGTCAGATCCCCAGCCATCAGATGGCAAAGCCCAAGAGGTATGAGGTCAGATGTATTCATTCAAACTTTGGGGGTTTGGCGTATTGTTATTTTTCCTGTTGGCTTCTACTGCTATTTCCACAAAAACAGAGGGATATAGATATAGTATGTTGTGAGTTAACAAGTCATATTATTAATTTTTAAATGCATAATGAATTCTTAAATATGTTAAGAATTGAAAGAAACACTCTATTTTATCTTGCACACTGTTGCTATATAATCTTACATTTTCAAAATGTGCATTTCAATACTTCAAGTGGTATGTGGGCTTTTTAATATTTAATTTGTGTAATTCACAGAATATTCAAGTAAGCCTTTGCCCTTTAAGCGTTTTAGCTACCCTTGCTTATGTAGAATGATGGACCATTTAATTTTCCAGTGATCTCATGATCTTGTGGCATACTCATTGGCTTAGTATAGGAGCCATTTTTTGCAGCAGTGAGGTAGTGAATGATCCCTTTAACATGATGCTTCAAAGAAAAAAAAAGAGATTTTAGAATATATTGTGGTCAGAATTAAGATCTGGTCCCTTGGAAATGAGTAGTAGCAAGATGCTGCTGAGAAACTGCATTGTCAAGGTCTGATGTGGAGAGGTTTGCTTTATGGCCTCTGAGCATTTCAATCAGACACAGTCAGTGCAAGCTTTAATTTAGAATTGCTGTCTTCCTTCAGAAATTCAGTTCAACTCAAACTGCAGCAGAAGGTGTGGATCGCTTACAGGCTTATTTTAAGTCATTAAGCTTCCTATCCAAACAGTCTGTGTGAGCATTAACTTTGGGGGCGTTTCTATTGCAGAGGATTCTTCATTGCTCTTTTCCCCTGCCTGATCATTGCAATAGAAGCTGAAGTTAGCTTCCAGCTAAAGTGGGCCAGTTTTGATAGTTTCATATGCTTATTGATGTTCCCATGAGGCTTAAATCAAGTTTATAAATGACGCGTGACCAATGGAGGTTTGGTGTTACAGCACTGCATATCGTGCCTCCTTTCCTGGGCTCAGTTGTGTTTAGTTCCTTGCAATAAACTCTTTACTATAAGGAACAAGTCTGCTTTGGGAAAAAGTAGATGTTCTAAAATGACCTTTCAAGCATTAATACCTACCATTCTGTGAAAAAAAATACTCACTCTTTTCCCTAAGGATTGACATAATTCAAGGTTTTGCCTTTAGATGTATCCATTGGACACAAAACAACACCCAAAAAACTAGAATGAGGCTTTATAGCTTTCTAATTTCATAACTTCTGTAGAGAAGAAGGAGGGTTGTAGCAGCCTGCAATGTTCATAAAGGACTGCATATGATTCTTTAAACTATAGTTCATGAAAAATAGATAAAGATCCAACTGCATGCAAAATTCATTTCCATTTGAGGGAAATTTGGGTTATGAAAGAAACTGAGTATTATTACATTGTCTATGAGTTGCTGCATTTTTCAAGAAGAAAGACAATTTCCACAACCATTTGGTTGGTGCCAGGCTACTTAAAATGAAGGCTTTCATTTTAAATTATAAACATATTTTTGCCTTCATTTAGATAATATAACTGTGGCCTGATTTTTAGAACCGTCAAGACTGAACAGGTCCAATTTAAAGTCCCTCAGTGCTTCAAATTGTCATTGCCTTGAAAATTAAGTCTTGCATTGCTTATGGCAGGACTAGTTTAGAAAGAGAAAAAGATTTTCCCTGGAGACATCTCTGCTTTAAAATGAGACTGTTCTCTGTCCATCAAAACAAATCTGTTAGGGAAGGGCAACATAATGTGGCTGCCTAATTGGTTTTCTTAGAGAATGGAAGACCATTCTGTATGAGAAACAGCAGGATGAGAAATGTCTATGCTATGGAAACACTTGTGAAGCACTTTAGGGTAAATTGTGTGTCTCTCAACATATTGCTAGGGAAAGTTAAAAAAAGAAGCTCTGCTAAGACCCAGTTTATAACTTGGATAATTGTTGAAGAACAACTTGTCTCCCTGAAAATGTTTTTCTATCAAAAGGTGTTAGGAAGTGGCTTAGTGAATGACACAGCAAATTATTTGTGTTGTCCACCAGTGTTGCTTCATCTTTCTTTCCTCCCTATAAACATAAATGTATTTCAGGATTTCACTATTGACAGTGGAGCATACATAACTCCCACAGGCCACTGCAAATTGAACCAGCATTCATTTTATGTTTGAAGTACATTATCAAAGAATATTTCCATCTTCTACCCAGAAATTTATTTTCTCCTTTATTTCTACTTAATATATTTTTTCATAAAAGATACCATAGTATTTTTATGTCTTAATTTCTGCTTCTTTGTGTCTTTATTCATTCTTACTTCCTTCTCTGTGTACACATGAGTGTAGTTGATGCATAGTTTTCATACACTTGCTACAATCATGCATTCAAAGTGGAATTCATCTCACCTAACTTGGGCTTTAAATGTAGTTTTAGTCCTCCAGTCACCAAGAGGCAGAAATAATCCAGAAAGTGATTAATCCAAATTGCTGTAGGAATTTGTTGTAAAATGTAATATATCTCCATCCACAAGCTCAGGCTGGGCTGTTTTTGGCTAATTGACTATCTTAGTCTAGAAACTTAATTTTTGTATGGCTCAGATTAGGAAAGAAGAAATCTGCCCTTTTATTCTCCTTTATTTGTCTATAGTTTCAGCATTCAAAAAAGTACTTAGCATATCCATAATTTTATTTTAACCTGTGGCATGGCAGTATTTATCCCCTAAAATACAACTTCCATTGAGTTCCTTTGGTTAAAGTTTTACTGCTAGGCATCACCTGAGGTTTGTTTCTGCTACATGCTATGCATAAATGCAACAAGAACACAGAAGAATTTAAAGACAGCTAAGTCAAAGAAGATGGAAAAGTTATATCTTCTCAGAGGCCAGTAAAGACACAGAGATTGAATGACTTGTCCAGAATGATGAAGCAGAAGTGGAAAATTGGCCAAGATTTATTGACTTCTAGTCCAGTGCCCCAAGCTCAAACAAGCTTTTTTTCTCCCAGGTACTCCAAGATATACTAAGCTTATATGAGATCATAGCATATATGCCTTCCCCCCACTTCTTTTTTTTATTTTATTTATTGTTAGTGAACTAGTAAGTTTTCCCTTGAGCATGTAATGAAATCACTGGTGAGTGTATGTGCAAGCTTTACATAACTTGAACAAGTGAATTGTAGAGTGCCATAATTACACAGAAATACAAGTTTTAGAAGGGTAGAGACAAGCTGTTCAGCTAAGTGTAACTCCTCACAGATTAATAAAAGAACCTCACATTAATAAAAGAATCCTCACAGATTAATAAAAGTAGCCAATTATTAATAGACTTCTGAAAACATCAACTTTAAGGCATTTTATTTACAATATTACTTGGTAGAACAACCTCTAGCAAAATATTTCATTTCAGAATATTGCATTCTTTCCCTCCTTTAATTTGGACATGCAGGAACTGTAAATGAAAGTGATTTCTTTTCTTCAGAGGGTAAATCACAGAAGCAATCTTAAGCAAACTGGCAGTATTCTAATAGAGCAGGATTCTATTCCCAGAGAGTTCTCAAAAAGATTTCAATTAGATGTTAAATTAGACACCTGAAATTCACATATTTCTCTCAGCTCCTTAGGCAAAAATAACAAGATAATAACTTGATCAGCTCAGAGAATTCAGTGCTCTATTGTAAAATGTCTTCCTTTTGACATAGAATAAAATTGCAGTTTGCAGTATATAAGTTTTAGATTGCTTGTCTTCATGGAAGTTTCAAGTCAGTGGCTTCTTGGAAGAAGAAGAAAAAAGGAATCTCTAATGTTTTGAATATTCATTTGAGAGATGAAGCACACTGATAAATATGCGGTGTATATAAACTTTTCAAATGTGCAATGAGTGGATAACAGAGAAATCATTAATAGAGTGAAGTTGGGTATGTTTTATTTTGGCATCATATTTCAGTTAGCACTGTGGGGTCAAGTTTTGCAAACAAAAGTTTATCCAGTATTTTGCTGTGTCTGCATAAAATGTTCATGGAATGATATGAAGGCCAAGATAAGGTCAGAGTGAATGTGTGTATACTTTTTGTAACTCTACTGAGAGAGGAAAATAGATTGGCTTTTGTAAAATCCCTATAAAGGCTTAGTGTAGTTTGAACTCTTAGCTCAGTTACCTTAGGTGTGTGTCGTGGTTTAACCCTGGGCAGACACCAAGCCCCACAGCCACTCACTCGCTCTCCACCAGCAGGACTGGGAGAGAATCATAAGGGTAAACTGGAAAACTCATGGGTTGAGATAAAGACAGTTTAATAGGGAAAGTAAAAGCCTCACACATAAGCAAAGCAAACCAAGGAGTTAATTCATTGCTTCCCACAGGTGAGCAGGTGCTCACCACCTCCAGGAGAGCAGGGCCACACGTGACAGTCACTTGGGAAGGCAAAGAACATCACTCCAAGCTTCCCTTTTCTCCTTCCTCCTCCCACATTATGCACTGATGATTCCACCCACATGTGGTGTGGAATGTCCCTTTGGTCAGCTGGGGTCACCTGTCCCAGCTGTGTCTCCTCCCCTGCACCCTCAGCTCCCTCACCACTGTGGCTGTTCAAGAAGCAGAAAAAGCCTTGGCCCTGTGTGAGCCCTGCTCAGCAATAGCAAAAACATCCCTGTATTATCAACCCTGTGTTCAGCACAAATCCAAAACACAGCCCCATACCAGCCACTGTGAAGGAAATTAACTCTACTCTGGCCAAAACCAGCACAATGTTGTAAAAAATATTGTTACAACCAAAATAACTGAAAAATATTCATGCATTGAATTGTATTTTAGAAGAGTGCTTTGGATTTCTGCAAATGAAAGACAGGTAGTAGAACCCTGGTTGCTGCTACCATTTGTTACACAGTTGCTGGTAATCATACTGACAAGGAATTATACAAGCTAAGCCTGTGGAAAATATGGAAATGAATGTGAATATGCTGAGGAGGTCAAGGAGTTGGCTTTATCTCTAATAGTGCAAGCTTTATCTCTTGTAACATCTTTCAAGTGGGCTTCAAAACCACCAGGTTAAGGGTGGTTTACCTGAACTAGTCTATGGACATAAGCAAGATAATCTTCGTGAGCAGAATGAATAGTTTTTTCTAGACCAGCTCTATCTACAAAGTTTTTCCCATTTATAAATGCCCATGGTCTACTCATCTGCACCCAGGATTATTTGGCAGCTCCAACATGTGAGCCAGTTCCCTAGAAAACTGAGCAATATAGATGATTCATAAAATTATATAACCCCATAAAAATTATTTCCTGATTATTCGTGCAAATTACAGTTTATTAATAAAGGATGTAGATACTACCCAGATGCTCTCTGCCATGTCTATTGAGTACTCAGTCACCAGAGAGGAATCCAGTTACTAATTCTCTGACTTACTAGGTGGCATTAACTGTGTCAGTGCTTCTTCTTACCAAAATGTCACATCAAATTGTGCAGGATTGTGCCTTCAAAACTGAGCAGTGATCATAGGATGCTGAGTTTTCTTCCTGCTTTTCAGCAAGTACATGTATTCATAATTTCATATACATCAGTATTCATGGGCTTCATCAAAGACTTGTCAAAGGCTTGAAAAAAATAAGCATGTGTTTAAACATTTTGCTGATTTGATGCTGAAGTACTTAAATCTTTGAAACACATTTCTAGACAATTTATATTAACTTCTGAAGGGATAGGGAGCATTCCTACACAGTTTTAATATTGAAGATATGTCTCCTGTGTTGTCCCGGAATTCATTTTATGTAACTGTTTACCATAAACCTTTCTTGTTGTGGCCCCCTGCAGTTTCTTATCAGCATGGAGTCTGCCGTTGTTATTTGTTTCCATTGGTTTATTTTATAGGCAGAGTGGTTATTCTAAGATATTCCAACCAGAAGCAATGCAGAAATGCTATACAGGATGTCAGCAAAGCACATATTGGCAAATGCAGTAAGATTCTTATGTTCATCATGCAAGAAATGCAAACTAGCCAATTCAATGTCTCTGAGATGGTGAAGAAAAATTATTGGAGTCTGAAAATTGATTATGTGCCATTTTGCTCATTGCAGGCCTTTTCTTCGCTGAAACTGTGTTCAGCGAAGCATGTTACATTAGTATCAGATGCATGTATGCTGCAGCTTTATGTAATACTAACCCAAATTTTGATGATATGGAATGTCTTTGAAATTTAACATAGCTGCATACAACAAGTCCATATCCCCACAGCCTTGCTGCTACAAGTGTCAGGAATATAATAGATGTGTGCAAGGGAGTTTTTTAGGTTCCTTGCCTTGAGCAAAATTAGTTAATGATATTCATTCAGATACAGTACAGTACAAATGGGGCACATTAAATGGCTTAAATTAGGTCAAATTGAATAATTGAATTTATTCTTTTACTTAAAAAGAGCTTAATCAGCTGAGAATGTTAGAGTCAGAAAAAATAGTTTAATTAAATATTAATTAGAAGTTTATATTTTGAGCTTCCTTGTTATCACTTGCAGCGCTATTATTTATGTATCTGTTTTTCCTCATTACAGCTACAGGGCGATGATGTTCAACCATTCTCACTTGATGAAGAATTTGATTATGACAATGTGGCACTGACCCCGAAGTTCTCTGAAGCTGAGCTGAAGGCCATTATAGAGTTGTCTAAAGAGAAAATGGGTACAGATGTCAAATCAGCACAAGCTGAAGACTGAGTCAGAGGTGTTCTGTGCAGGGCTGTTGGAATGACCTTTTTACGGGAGGAATGTAGCTCCTTGTTGTACCCTTATTTAGTGTTCTTATCTGTGTGGCCAGTAAATGGCATCCATGAGATTTGTCATTTTTTCTGTCAAGGTGCCTTGGATCCTGTACTGGCTCAAGGTAGGTCTGCTGGAGTAAATTTTCCATAGGAGCAAAACAAGCTGGTGGATTTCAGAATAGCATTGTGGCTGCTCTTGCTTATATCTGGTACTCACTCGGTTCCTGAGTAGTACAAAGCTGGTCCTAAAGCTGCCTTCTACCTTGTTCTTTCAGTAATGCAGTTAAGAGCTTTTTAACAGTAGACAAAACAGTCCATGAACTCTTTAAATGCATAGAGATATATGAGTGAATAAATCTGGGAATATGTTTTTTTTTCTCTGTCTTTTGAGTTACTTCAGTTCTGCAAAAAATAAACATTCCTGTTTCCAGCAAACTTTTTGTGTTGATCAAAATTGACATGGTACAACTCCTAAAATTAAAACAGTAACTGCTCAAACCACTCCCCCCCCACCTTCCACACAGAGGAAAAAATAGCAATCTTATCCATTAAAGGAATTGGCATTGAAGGGCTGTCAGATTTTAGATTTTTTTCACAGGAGATTATTCCAAATAACAGTTTATAGTTTACACTCTGCATCACTGAAATACAGCAAGCTGGAGTTGAGTAAAGGTCAGCTATCTGGGTAGTAGAGAAGAGTGTGGCACCTCTGACACAAGGTAGTATGTACTCCTTTTCTGAAGAGTTCAGAATCCTTTGTTTTCAGTAACTGTAGAAGCTTTGTCAGTTGAGGCTTGGTTTAACATCACAATGCTGCATTGTATTTTTGTTTGCTTTCTGATATAACTGCATTCACTAAAGCTTACTGACCGGCATCTTGTCCTTGACCTCTATTATTTCTGAAGTGGGTGATTAGCATGATAAATATGGGAAGAGTGCCCAAGCAGACCGACAGGGCACCAAACCATAGGTTTGTTTAAAGGCTGTGGGTGAATTTTCTGTGGCTAGTGGGCTGCTTCATTGTCAGTAATTTATAAAAACAAAGAAAGGTCTTCTGATGTTCCAGAGAAGATTTTATGGATTAGTGATTTTGTAAACCATAATCATGCTCCACTGAAATCTGAGTAGCATTGGTTTTGAGGAATGGTATTTACCTTGATTAGGGGATATAATTTAAGAGTGAGATTCCACAAAAAAACCCAAAAAAACAACAAACCAAAAACACCAGAAAAGAAAGAGCTCTCACAGAAGATATTTAAGGAGACTGATAGAAAATTACAAGTATGTTGTAAAAACTGATTTGTACAGGACCTTGCTGGTAGAAGGTAATGAGAATTTTTTTTAACATTCGCACTCAAAAAAATGCCTGTGGCATAGTTTGAAATGTTGGTGTTTTTTTTTTTTTTTTTTAATGTAATTGGCTATGTAGCAGATTCTGGTGGGTTTTCTGCAACTTTTTTAAAATGTGAATTTATTTTAATTCAATAAAGTGTTTTGTTGGACCCAAGGTATTTTAAATTAAATGGTTTAGCTACAACTAGAGTTTTCCACTGAAACCTTAAAGTTAAAAATTTCTGAACAGATCCAATTATTAATTCATCTTCTGAAGGATACAGATAATGTGTATAAATCAGAAGGATAAGAAGTAAGTTCTGGAAGAGCTCCATAACAAATCTGGGAAAAAGAAATGGAGAAGTGCTGTATAATGATAGCAAGGTCAGCCTTTGAAAGCCTCAACAGAAAAATAAGGGAGACCTCATTAACATATGTATGTATAGGAAAGATAAAGTAAGGAACCTTCTGGCTGAGAGGCCTCTCTGGACAGAGTTTGCTACCCTGCAGACAAGGAATCAGCCATAAATGTGAACATTTGTGGCTTTGTGGAATGGTGAATTAGTTGCTTCTTGCATGTGGTTTTTTAGAAAGGTGTGAGTCACACAAACAAGAGATCAGTCCTGTGGGAATCCTCTTGCCTGTAGAGTCGATGAGAAAACTTATTGAGTGGTTTATAATATTCTTCAGGCCACATCAGCTCTGGAATCTCTTAAGTGCCTTTTCTATTCATTTCATTATCAATTTTTCACTGTACATTAGGGATACATCCAGCCATTCAGTTCCTTCTCTCATAAGCAGATGATTCTTACCAAATGTTCGGGGTACCTACTGTGCTCCATAAGTGTCATTCAGTATAGTCATTATATGGTTTCCTTTGATATAAAGAAACACTTTGCTGCAGAATACCCAGCAAAATTGGAACTCTTTAGTGACATTCATCTTACACAGAGAAATGGGAATAATTCACTTACATTTATACCACTCAGGAGTTAGATTTTTACTCTTTGTTAACAGGCATGAATTTCGCAGTGAAGATTAGGCAATATAGGCTACATTTTCTGTACATGACATTTTATTGGCCTGCCCCTGTGGTTGTTTTTGGCTTGTACCTTTCATTTGATTGCCTTTCACAGAGGAGGCATATTTTCCTCTTAGCCATTACCAGGTTGTCATTTTTAAGAACATACTTTATGTGCATGTTAAATTTTATACTTGCTCATGGAGTTACTTACCTGGAATTGTTTTAGTGTTTGTGAGGTAGTTTGGAGTCTGAATAATATATATTTTTTTTCCTCTTGTAGCTTGTATTCTGTTTAATATTTAATATTTTCAGCAAGGGTTGGCAAGGGACATTAATCTTTTCTATTTATGGCCTTTTCTAAACATTTTTCCTGTTTTCTGAAATAATTAAAGACAAAACTCTCACATGGAACAGGAATTTGGAGTGCTACTTGGGATCGAATTATGGACTGCTGCTGTAGGGAACAGCTTTCTCCCTACCACACTGACGAGGATTTTGAACTGCAAAATCTCTGACACTGAGTGAATCCCTGGGAAGTGAAGGCTGTGTGATGCATCTCCCAGTCCCTTTGTACTAATGATTTCATTGATGTCTAAAGTGCAGCAGAGATGTGCATCCTTATCAGTCAGTGAGTTTATCTGTTGAACTTGTGACTGCCTTTGGTGTTGCCAGATGGATACTGTTTCCCTCCACAGTCTTGATGGATCCTTAGTTATGGGAAGGGACTATTTGTTTTAGGAACTCTTTGAATTTTATGAGGAGTAAAATAATTCTTCCACTGGGGATGGAAACTGAAGAGTTGTTTCCTTGGCTGGCTGAGGTGAAAGCTTGGATATTGCTAATGTTCAGGGTTAATGTTCACTTCTCATGACTGTAAAGGGAACCGTAATTATTTGTTGAGATAATGGTTGTGGAAGAATGAGATAAAGACTGAAGAAATGAAAAGATATGCAGGCAAATCTGACTCAGACAGTTATGGGTATATTTCTATTAATGCACAGAGGTATCCTGGTATACACTTGTGTACACACAATGCTGCTGAAGGAAAATAATTTTATGGAGGATACCCACCAGATAATTCAGAATCTTGGGAAGAAGATGGTGTGGAAACAAATCCCTGCTCCTATGGAAAAGACTGATCCTCTGGCCTTCATTTTCTGCTGCTATAAACTGGCAGAACTCCACTGAGGCCATTTGTATGCATACAGAGCAGACAGGAGTCTGGTATTTACAGTCTTAACTGAAAGAATATGGAGCCAAATCAATTCCTGATTTAACTTCACTGAATATATAGTTATGTATATGACCCATTATCATTATGGGAAAAGATTTAAATGAAGAGCCAATGCAAATGAAATGGAAAAAAGGGTATCTTGTAACTGTTCAAATACTGCACAGATTCTTTTGAAGTTTCTGTGGTTGTGTGTGCTTAGAACATTGCTTTTTGCTTTAACAAAAATATATATTTTCAAGTCCTGTGCAAATCATGAACTTGTTTACATACCTAACTACTAAAGATTCTGATCTACATTAGTGTGTTTTTTTTTCCCCTCTGCATATTGACAAGGATTGGAAGTGGACTTTGCTTTATCTTGGAATTGTTTTTAAAATATCTGATGTCTTTTGTAAAAATATACAATTTCTTATAAAGGTAGATTCTCAGTTAGTGATTCTACTCTAAATGCAGAAGTAAAAATAGGACCAAATTCTTGGTTGCTCAGCAACTTCATTTACATCATACTGTGGGTAAACAGACATTTGGTGTAAAAGTCTTGGATAGCAGGCTGATTTATATCCTGTTGTCCTCCACCTTGAATTTTCCTTGGGAGTCTAAGCAGTAGCTCGGTCCCACCAGGATCTGAGTGTTCGCAGCCCTGCAAGGAGACGGCAAGACAATGCAGTGACACTGACCAAAGCAGCTGAAGCAGCAGCCTTGTGCTGGGGCTCCCGCTACAGTTTAGCCAAGTGTGGCCGTTCAACTGTGTTCGGCGGAGATTTGTGTTCTGCAGCAGTGAACGTGCTGCTCCTGAGGACAAGGCTTGGTGCAGAGCTTCCTTGGGCTCCCTTTCGGCAGCTCACTGCCCTCATCCCGGGCTGCAGCTCAGCCCCTGTCATTCCGAGCTCCCAAGTAAAGCTGAACCCCCTGCCCAGGGTCCTGCTGGCCTCAGGAAGCAGCTCCTTGCCCGCAGGGCCCAGCGCTGCTGCCAGCCCAGGGCATTCCCACCGTGCAGCGGTTTCATGTGGCAGCTGTCAGTTAGCACAGCTGGGCCCCAGCGCCACATCTGGCCCGGGCTCCTCTGGCTGGGAGCCGGCTGCCTTCGCCAGTCCCGGGCATACGCAGCTCTCCCAGGTGCTGGATGTCTGCGCATCCCTTGGGAAAACCAGGCAGACAGTTTTCTCTACCGTGGTGTTCTGTTGGAGAACATCTCAAAAGGTGATGAGTTTGGTACGTTTGTGATTGCTGGCTGTTGGAGGTGGCAAAACCTGGCTGTTTTGCTGGCAAGATACTGAAAGCCAACGTTGCAGGTGTATGGGCTGTGAAATACCACAGATTTGACCAAGAATGGTTTTAGTGCTTGTCTGTGACAAGTTTCTAAGAAGAACAGCAAGTGCTAAAAGGTACTGTCATTTTTATAGACAAGCTACTTTATTTGCAATTGCAGTGCCCCACAGTTAAAATGGAAATCAATTTTAATGCCTTATGAAAATGTAGAAATATTTGTCTCATTTACAGCACTTCCAGAAAGGACAGATAATAAAATTACCCTGATTTATGATCTATGATTTTATATACTCTGTGGTATCTTGTTCAGTACATCTCTCCACATAAACATTCCAAAAGAATGAGGAAAGATAGATCTGAACAACATTCCTGAATCTAACTTCACACTGAATTTCAGATTGTAGAAACTCTCTCCCTATATATTCAAAGCTCTCTTTGATCTGAATATTCCCAAATTTGGGGGAAGTAGATGCTTAACTTTAAAAATCACTAATCAAACATTTCTCTAGCAACCACATAGTACCGATCTGGACTAAAAAGCCCAAAGTAGTAAGGGACCTGCCTGTATAAAAAGAATCTATGAAATTTGAAAATTGGCATAATGCACTCTATATGAAGATAGTGGATAAAAGGACTCCAAAGATAGTAGAATTAAATGAAAAATGTTATTTTTCTGGAGAGTGAACCATACTCAAATATTCTGTTAACTTCATGCAATTCTTGAAAGCCTTTGAATAGCCAACTGAAAAATTAGTGTAATCATTTTGTAATTCATGTGGATATACAGCATAGTTATTTCTTGAGCCATTAAAACAAGATTAAAATTTGTGTGAGATTCTTCAGTATATTTTGTGGCAGTGCTGACACCATAAATAAAGGCTTTAGCCTCATTCTATCATATGTTACAACAAAGTTTGTTCTTCCGTGGCTGTTGTGGTTGAGGATTCTTGTGGCAGTTTCTGGAGAGCAGGTGTGAACTTGTAGCAAGTAAGCTCTAAGTTTTTTTGAATACATCT